GGGACACTATAATATTCAAAAACAGTACAGTCTCTGCCAAAATGGTATATCAGAGACCCACTAATAATCGAACTTTGAGTTTATTGTATGTTGTCGCGGTCGCTATCGATATCAATATCGTTTAATAATTAATTATAAAAAAAAGCCTCTTTGATATGCATGTTGTAATATCTAATATGTATAGGTATGTGCTATACTTTTTATTTAAATAACGCTTGATTGTATGAGTGTACACTGTACACATCTAATAGTTTAATATATTCATTTCGTTTATAGTATAGCCAATATGTGCTAATGGGTTGATCCATCGGATTACGTATAATGTCCATAGTCACTGATTCTGAATGCATGATTTCGTTTTTCATAGTTATTTGTTATCAAACAAAATCAAATATTATTGTTTGAAAGTTACATCGAATTGTGTGAGAGTAATAAATAATTTTTATATCCGTGGTTATAAAAATGATCAAACGAACAAAAGATTATAAAAAAATGTTTTATTAATTACTTTCTGTAAAAAAAACCACAATGAAAAACGAAARGAAGTCGCGATTTCCCTCTTGACCTTCCCTAATCTATATAGGTATACATTGTGTACTTATCGTACGGAACTAAAGTGTTTACTCAGCTGGTTGCTGGAATCGGGAAAGGTTTGAATTCCGAATTCAAAAATTAGTTTTGTTATAGGTTAGGTTGCCTGCCTCATAACTTCTTTTTTTTGTTCTTATAATAATGCAAAACAATAAACAGTTGTAACGATTCAGGTCATTCTGTTAATGCAATTTTTTTAGTATTTAATTACACATGTAGGAATAATCTATATACAACACAAATTTATAGTTTCTAATTTATAAGTATTCAGTATTTTGAAAAATAAGGTCAAATAATATACCTAGTGGTTATCGTTTAGTATGTGACCCACCAAGCAAATATCGAGTGTAATACACTCAATGTATAGGTAATACCTATTGGTTATTACCTATATATTATTCTAATTTATAATCTGATATTTTTAATACTGAAAATGTATGTAAAATACAACAACAAYAATAATAATAACAAAAATGATAATCAAACACTGTGAGTAGACTTCTGAAAAAATCGTATCAATTCTAATATTCACAATAGTATTATAGCAGAAAAATCAGTGTATCACATACAAATGAAAATAATAAGACAAAATCTAATAAAYAGATTGTTGAACGAAATTGAACATTTTTGTAGACATAAATATTATGTTATAAGCACGATAAATTGTTTCTGACCGATTTTTGGTTTTTTTTTTTTTTGTCATGATACGTACACATTAAAACCTAAAAAAAAAAATCAAATAAAGCAATGTTACCTATATTATTATAGAAATTTTTTATATACCTATATAATATATATTATTGTATTTTGCAGGTGATGGATCTGATAAATAAATTTTCCAAGCAGCGCGGTCGGGTGATTGATTTTAAAGAAATATTTTATGGTTACCAGAGGGTGAACCCATTGTTCGGCGTAGACTACATGTTAGACATGTTGCTAATGTACAAGAAGTACCGGGGGAAAAAAATGACAGTTCCTGTGCGGCGGCACGCATATCTCCAACAGCAATTTACCGGTAAAAAGTGTATGATATTATTGTGCAACCATAGTCTATAATAGCRGTTTTTCGTCCGTGTTTTCCGGACAAGACAAACGAATTTAATGTTTTAGTGGATTTAATTTCAATATATTAGAATAACCACCGACCATACTACTTATATATGTAAGTGTATTTTCTTAGATGATATTAAATCCAAAAATCTATCTTCGTTCAACGTTTTGATTTCAATAATTATAAATAAATAGGAATTATTCAGTAGGTACCTATTTAATGACAGCTGGTATACGCTTTATAAATATTTATTTTTCTGGAAATACAGAAAAAACTAGTTTCATCAAAATAATTTTATRACAATATTAAAAGTTTATTGGAATTTATTTTTAATCTTCAAATTTTTATCACACTGATAAGTTGCAACTTTATTTTTAATTGCTATAAAACTATAAAATACAGACATTTTGATAATATGAAAAAAAAACCCATTGCTTATTTATTTAAGAATATTGATCACACATAGGAATTTGAAGGGAATACCAAGAACGCCTATTGTTAATAGTTTGCGATTAAATTTGCATTAAAAAAATTACCAACCAATATTTTGAATACCTATAGAATGATATTGGGAAAATATATTATATAAGATGCAACTGGTAAGCGTCATCAATATTTTTATTGGTTGAATATAACAAATGTTGGACGAAATAATCAATAAACCTAKTCTGCATTTTACTGATGTTCAAATTTAATCATAAAAAAAGTGGATAAGTCGTAGATGTCGCTCTGCTGTACAGTAGGTTACTAGTGGGTTACTGTAATGGATGGAATTAAATTTGAACCCAATGACATTATATCATTATAYACGAAAAACGATTCTGAGSGGAGACGGTTTATCTGTCTAGGATATACCTATTATATAGATTATTAAAAAAATTTCGAATCTTAGATTTTAAAAGAAAAAAGTCGCTCAAATGTTTTGAAAATGTTTTACCATGTCTAGGTAAGGCTAATATAAGTAAACAACCCAAATTTCAAGTTTTAAAGAATGCTTTTAACCGAATTACAACAAAAAACTCCCAAAATTAAAATGTCTATAAATAGCTCATAAATGGCTAAAATTTTCCGAATTTTAAACCGTAAGGGACAAAATCTAAAATACAACAAAAATATTTCTCGTCATTTTTCATTTGAAGCAATATTTCTGGTAGAAAATGTCGTTTATAATTATTTAATATTGTAAAATCGTGAAATCGTTTTTCTCCTTTAACCGCTTTTATTTTGAGTACCTCAAGAACATTACCTTTCAGAAAAGATGCTACACTTGATATTTTTGAGCAAGTTAAGAGGGAGAAAAAGTGTTTACAGAATAAAAAAGAAAATGAAATAAACATCATTAATTTAATTTAAAACCAATACATTCCTCGCTCCACTCAGCATCTAACATTTAACTTGAGGAATTTAGACATTGATAATACATTTATTCCAGTTATTTTAATTTCCATTACCATTACCATTATTTTACGACGTTTTAATCAWGTAGTAGGTAACAATTTAGAAATAATAATTATAATTAACATTTTTTTTTTTTTACTAAATATTTTTTGAAACGTGATATAATAAAGTGTCATCAAAATGTATACTTCTTTAATACAATTATACTATTCATGGCAGTATCCAGATGTCTTGATATTACAACTAAATGATATTGCTCGTTTCWAAATCTGACCACTGAGGATGTCCGGAACTCGGAAGTAGGTATTCAAAATRAACCAACGTAATATACTTGAAAGGGGTGATACCAAATGAAATTGAATAATCCCAAAAATTGTAAAGGTTTAAAATTGCTTCCAATACACTAATATAAATCACTGGAAAATAATTAGAATATTATTTCAGTTATTCATATAATTTTATATAACTGTTATAAAATGGTGTTTTATTTTTATTTTATTTCTATTTGAAATTTTAAACAAAACATAAATATTAAATAGGTGCCTGTACTAATCCATACGATTCGGTCATTGCAGGTTTCGAAGTGCGGGAAGTGCTGGACGGGTCGGAAGTGAAGCTTAATGCGCAGCAGCAGGACGCCGAAGCGTACGACAACGACGACGACGACGCGGCGGGCAGTCCGTCCAGGGACATTGTGGACAACGGCATGGTCCGGGTGCAGGACGGGCCGCCAGCTAAGCGTCGGCCGGACAGCCGTGCTAAGACGGTGCACTTCGTGCTGCCGCTGTTCAACCGGCTGGCCACATTCGYCAGGTTCGTTGACAACTACGAGTCGGTGTGCCTGGCGAACGGTGAACGSGTCACGTTGACGGTGGTCCCGTTCGGGCAGGCCACCGCGGACGGGGCTGCTGCCGCGGTTGCACAGCTCGCAGGCCGTCACCCGGACGCCCAACTCACCGTGCTGCCCGATCCCGGTGTCCCGTTCGCCCGCGCGGCCGCACTGCACGCCGGAGCCATTCACGCGGCCCGTCCGCCAACGGACGATCTGCTGTTCTTCGTCGACGTGGACATGCTGTGGACGGCCGCGACGTTGGATCGCGTGCGGCTAAATACGGTTCGCGGCCACACCGCGTACTTCCCGATCGTGTACAGCGAATACGACCCCGTTGTGGTGTACGGCCGGGCGGCCGGGTCGCCGAACCACTTCCTGGTCAATCAGGACAGCGGATATTGGCGACAGTACGGGTTCGGCATCGTCAGCGCATACGCTACCGACCTGGCGGCCGCCGGCGGGCTGGACACTTCCATCAAGGGCTGGGGCAACGAGGACGTGGACCTGTACGAGAAGTTTGTGCGGTCGCGAACCGCGGCGTCCGTGTTCCGCGCTGCTGACCCGGACCTGGTGCATGTTTACCACCCGGTCGAGTGCGACGCCGGGTTACCAGAGCCCAAGGCCCAGATGTGCGCCAACACCAGGTTCGAGACGTACGGCAACGTGGACCAGTTCGCCAACATCATCTATAGGAACCGGGACGCGGTGTATGAATTCGCGGCCRGTCGGCTGCGGAATGGGTCGACCGCCGGGACTGCACAGCTACARCCGCTGCAGCCCGCGTCGGGGTTGGCGCCGCGGCCGCGCGTTTAATATATTTATTACGAACAATTTATAATTGTTTAACAATAATATCATAGTTTGTACATGTTTGTTTGTCATTTTTTTGATTGTAAAAGAATAAAAACTGTGATTCGCGTCGTGATCTCAAGTCGATCGAGAAAATCGTGTCTCTCTCTCTCTCTCTCTCACTCCCTCTTTTTATGTATCGCATTCTCTATATGTATATAAATGTAATGTATAAAACGTATCGTGATATTATTATAATKCCCTTAAAATGAAATTATTAATAATTGTAGGTATTTATAATACTGTTATTAGTAGTTATTACGACTGATAAATGTTTATTATAACGACTAAGACAATAATAATAATATTATATTTAAAATACATTTTGTTGTGTTCTATTGTTTATGAAAAGAAAACTTCAGCCATAAATACAAAAAATAAAATCAGTGAATATCACTATTCGCCAAAACATAAAAAAAACTAAATATTATAATACAGAGTGAAAACTTCTTAAAAAAAAATCATTCAGTTCTCATGATGAACTTATGCTCATCTCACAAGATGATCACTTACTCATCCTGACAAGTGTTTGTATGCGATTCATTTGCTGTTTCCACTGACCATACCAGTTATTTAAAATTTCATAGTCCACTAATTGTTGTTCATTATTTTCAATATTTTTTCCCTCCCTTTTAGGTATATCATATCCTTGGATGTTGTTGCAAAGTGGTTTTTGTATAGAACTATTATTGTGTTTCACAAAAGATATCTTATGGTTGTCAAGATGATTATCATAAGAGTAATTTTTATTTGTAGAATCTTTATCAAATCTTTTATTTTTTGCTTCTAAATTAATTTCATCCTGATACTCTTTTTCTTTTTTTTCTTTTTCATACGCAAATCCATCATCATATTCTTTTTTACTATCACTATGTTCTCCATTGCAATTTTCTTGTTTAACATGGTATTCTTCTTCATCATAAGATTCTTCTGCATCAGAGCGTTCTTCTTCATCAGAGCATTCTTCTTCATCAGAGCATTCTTCTTCATCACAGGATTCTTTTTCATCACAGGATTCTTCTTCATCACAGTATTCTTCTTCTTCACAGTATTCCTCTTCATCACAGTATTCTTCTTCTTCACAGTATTCTTCTTCTGACAATTCTTCATTCGACAATTCTTCATCTGGCGATTTTTCATCTTCACATATCAAAGTTGAAACATTATTCTCTCCTATATTTGTTGAATGAACAACTTTACTATCATGCTGTGCTGGCTTTAAAAGACTAAAATCTGGTATTTGAAATAAACTATATATATCGGTAAATCGTAGTTTTTGACTATTATTTGTATCAGTTTTAATGTCATCAACCATTTTTGATTCATTTGAAAAGTTGCTTTCTGAACATGCTTCATTAACAAACTGCATATTGTCTTCAACATTAAATTGAGCTTCATGTTGACTCTGTAATTGCTGATCTGTATCTATGTCGTTTATTTTTTTATCAATAGTGTTGGATACATTTATAAAATCATTTTCTTCAGACACTTGATTAATATCAGAGAGTTCATTTTCACTCACGGTTTGGAGTGATGTGTTTTTTAACATTCGGTTTTTATCAGCTTCATATTTATCAAAATCCGAATCATATTTTGTTATAATTTCTATTAGATCTTCAGGACTATATTCTGGATATTGATCATTCTTTAAAAAATAAGGTTCTGGATCAAATAACACAAAAGATCTATCACCGGTTAAAAGTTTTTTGTCAATCAAATTTTCTTCAATAAGTTTTCTTTCGGTTTCTTCAACGACTTTACGTAGCTTTTGTAGTGACTCCGTTTCAGCCGCACTATATGCATAAACAGATTTTATTTCAGAGCATGGGTGACATTCTTCAGATGCACCATTGGTATTTGATTCAATGCAATTAGCACTAAGGTTAGAATTACCTTAAATAAAAATAAATGAATTATAATGTATACTAACTATTAAAAAATATTGTCTTACTTTTACTATCTTTTGCTATGTCATTTCCAGTTTCTTGGATTGGTAAAACTTCAGGTTCAATTGATAAGTTGAGATCTTCAAGCTCGTGGTCTGCATATTCAAGTATAGGTTTTGTAATTGCAATCGGTAGCATTTTAACCTTAACACTTTCAATACTGTTAATAATTTGTTTAAAAGTTTTCAACTCTTTGTCATCATCCAATATTGTAAAAGCATTTCCTAAAAAAAAATAACTCAGTTTTTTGTAAATTCGGACTTATCAAAATTATTAACCAACCTTTATTTCCAAATCTTCCAGCTCGGCCAATTCTGTGTAGGTATGTAGCCCAGTCATTTGGACAGTCCATATTAATCACCAGGTCTACGTTTGACGAATCTATTCCTCTGGCTATCAAATCCGTGGCAACAAGTATTTTTGATTTAAAAGATGTTAATCTATCTACCAACTTTAATCGAATACTTTGATCTTGATCACCTCTAATGTAATCAGCTTTATAGTTATGGTCACGTAGCATATTACAAACAGCTTCAACTCTATAAAATTATAATGAATACAATACACTATCTTTTTGTTTAATTAATGAAAGTACCTTGTCATGTAGTTAGTAAATATGATACATTGTGTATATGGCAAATTTTGTAATATATTGAGGAGTCGCACATTTTTTGCAGGTAATAATATTATATTAGTACTAACTGCTTTAACACATGCTACATACTGCTTAATGCCTATTAGGAACTTTGATGGATCTTGTAATGCATTCATATCTTCTTCTGCTCCCTTGACCATAATATACTCTTTCATAAACTCATCAAAGAGAGACATATCGTTCTTATCAATTGATGCACTTACAACAATAGTTTGTTTTAATTTTGGAAGTTTAGCATCAATCAGTCTGGAAAAAATAAATATTGCCATTCATTATCAATTTTAAAAATAAACATTTTATTCATTTATAAACAGCAAAAATTAAATTTAAACATTACAAATAAAAATCACTATTTTTAATCTAAGTATAACTTTTGATTAAAAAGAAAATAACCGAATTTTGTCCTTTAAAATATTTTCATCAAAAATGTCATGATCAAAAATAACTAATTCAGGTATTATTCAAAAATAATATATATATATATATATATATATATATCACATAAATTTTAAAGGTATGTTAAAAAAAAAATGTAACAACATCACTATTTAGGACAGTAAAAACGTTTTAATTTTCTATTTCAGCATCTTTTATTTTAGGAAAATGAATCAAGTTGGTAATTGGGTGGTCATAAACATAAATTATGTATTCAAATGTTAAACATAAATTATAATTAATTTGGTAGGCCTGTTCTCCAATGATTTCCCAGGTCAAAATTTTTTGTCAATCTGCCTCTGCATATTATGTATGTTATAAATGTTTTGTCATATTAAAATTATAAAAATGATCAGTTACAATGAAAACATTTGTGTAGGTAGTACAATTACATACAATTACAGTAACAGATAACCAATTTTAACTGATCATTATAATATATAATAATCTATGTGAAAATCACTGTTAGACTTAATTTTCTAAGTTAATCTTTACATTTCTTATAGTTATTTTTTTAAAATTAAACTAATATTTGAAATAATTCAAGGCATAAGTATAAAAAAGAAGGAATAATCAATAAAATGTATGAAGTACAGCTAAATACTGTAAAAATATAATAACTTGCCTTTAAGATTACATTTTTTGATTACAAAATCGAGTAATATACTTTAAATATTAGATAATAATGCAAAAAAAATATGTTGAATTAACTATTCATTTTAATATCTATTGTGAATAAGTAACTGTGCAAACAAATTGTAATATAAAAAAAATATTTACTTTCAAGTATACATAAAGTTGCAATTAATATAGGTAGTATTAATTTAATTTATTTTCTATATAAGCCAATATTAATAATATTACCGAACATCTTTCGTAAAGTTTTTGTCAGTAAATAGTCTATCAACTTCATCAAGTATAAAGCTCTTTACTTCTGAACATTTTAACACATGTTCATTGATGAGGTGCTTAATGCGTCCCGGAGAACCGACAGCTATTTGACAGCATTTCGCCTTTTGTTTGTCAACATCAACTGGAGTACCACCAATGAAATATTCACATTTCAGTTCTAAATTTTACAAACATATAGGTTTAAATTAGATTTTGTATCTTAATAAGACGTATAACCATATAGATCAGAGATATTCAATCTTTTCATCCCGTAGGCCATAACCTATATTAGTAGATATCTATATACTAATAATATTATTAGTATATTATACTATATAGTCGGTATATTATAAACTAACTAATATTTATAATTATACAGTGAAACTTTGGTAAGACGGAAACCCCAGTAATACGAACAATTTTATTGGTCCAATTAAAATACATACCTAATGAATATGAACTCCCCCCTCCCCCGTCAAGTCAGAAACTCTATTGAGACGGGAAAATTGGATGGTTTTAAGCGATTCCGTCTTCATGAGGTTTCACTGCACAAGACCTGGGTACTATGTAGGTTTCGGATGCTTTGATGTGGCTCCCTTCACATACTTACACGACAACCCTAGGAGGCCGCGACGCACAGTTTGAATATCTCTGATATAGATACTAATGTACACTTAACTATGTTTAACAACTTCAAGTACTTAATAAGAAATAAATAATTATTTAATTAATCTATACATTAAAGAGTTTAAACTAGGGATTGTTTTATAGTCGAGTTAAGAGAAAATAACGTATTTTTGTAAGTACCTGGCAAGTGCTGTCCAACTTTATTGAAACACTGTTGTATTTGGACAGCGATTTCTCGTGTTGGTGCCAAAATAATAGTTTGTAAATTAACCTGTTCTAATTTTAATCTTATCAAAGTAGGTATAACAAAAGTTAATGTCTTTCCTGTTCCATTTTTCGCCTCAACTATTGTGTCTATAAATATAAAATCATATATCATGAAAGAAATTATTTTTGGAGGTAAGGGGTAAAATGAAAATACTTTGTACAAGTTACCATGTCCTGCAATAATTGTTGGTAGTGCAGCAATTTGTATTGGAGAAGCATTTATAAACCCACAATCAGATAGACCTTTCAATATAAGTGGATGTTCCGATATAATGGAGTCGAAAGGCGTCTGATCGTGTGTCTGTACATCTGTGGTTCGGTCAAAGTCCTTTGAATATTCAGACACCGGCATCATATCAATACAAAATTAAGCAAAATAAATTAAAGACAGCTGAAAAAAAGGTCTTAATGAAATATGTATGAATGAATGAAATGAGGCAGATAACCCAAAGATTGAAAGATTCATATAATTTGAAACTTCGAAAATCATACACCGTTTCCGTTTCAGGTTTGTTTCTGTGTTATGATTGATAACGATTATCAAGACAACATGTTTTGTAATTTGTAGATTATTTGATATCTCTGTGGTATCACAAAATATAACAATGGTACATAGAGTAATTTATTGCTCTATGCAATTTATGGTATTAATTATCAGTAATCAACAATATAGGTTGTTTCAAAGCTGATATTGACGATATTGTAAGACTGGATAGGGCCAAAGAATCACAGAACAACAGAATAGAATAGATATAGATATGGATTACAACACATATTATATTATTTTATATTCCATGCAGAAGTAATTTAAAAGCCAAGATATTATTATGTACGACTGTGCGAGAGAGAAGACTCTAAAGAGGTTTTCTCATGGATGAGAATAAAGTTGTTTTTTTCAGTTAAATCACTTGAATCCTAGATTAAACAATAAACATACATAATATAGCGTTTCTGGTTCAGCGGAGCTTAAGTAATTTTCTAAAAATGTTTAAGAAAATTACTTTAAAACATCTATTATGGAAAAAAATACTTTTATATTAATTAATAATGTATGAGCCATATGGAATAATCTCTGGGCTAACTCTATATTCAATAACCTACTATACTTCTGCTTAATATTATAATTTATTATAGCTTTTAATTAACATAACTTTTGAGCAAGTGACCACACTAACGGCCATCGAGTCTGGCGACCGGAGCCACCATACTTAATATGTTACCTACTTTAACTAACAAGGTTAAAATTACTTGTTAGGTAGTCCGTCTGCCCGCAGGGCAAGTATGCTCTACCCCCTCCCCCATGAAGGGGTCGCCCTCCCCTCTCCACCCTCCCCCCAGGTTTGCTATTTAAGCCCCGGGGGGTTTGGGGGCCGAGCCCCCATCCAACGAGAGGTCCGTAGGACCTCGAGGTTGGCGACCGGAGCCGGTAGGCGGATTTCACCATTATTCTTAAGTCGTTAAAATACGTAAAAAAAAAAATTCAAAACTAATTATAGCCTACTGCCGGCGCTGCGCTCAGAATTAAAGCAGTGTTGCGCGCATGCATATTAACGTAAAATCGCAAACTTTGGATGACTATAACTTCCAAAATAATGGCGTCCGCGCAGTTTTTTTTTTTTGCACCATCGTTCTTAACTCCCAGAAATGCATATATTTCGAAAAAAAATTCAAAAATGTGCTGGATATCTAAAGTGAATTTGTTCCAAAAGCTAAAATGCTAATAAAAAGTAGGGGTTCCACGGATAAAAAAGTTTAAGAAACGCTGGTTTACTCTATGGTTGAATTATATGGGTGGCATCAGCTCAGCCTGCTCTTAAGAGAACGTGATACCTGCATGTGTTGTCTCCGTCTTACAAGTGCCAAGTGCGTAACATTGCAATTTTCACGCTCAGCAGAACATGTGTGATAGCTTTGTTAATTTATAATTTAAAGCGAATTGACACCTAATAAAATTTAAAGCTAAGATTATTATTTAGACAACCTCATAGGCTTTTTATCATATTTTAATTTTAAAGCGTGTTATGAGTATATTAATATGTAAAAATAAATACAATTTTAAAATACTCATAACTTTTATAACTCGCTTCAAAATTAAAATATGATAAAAATCATATGATGATCCACATTACGCACTTGTAAGATAGAGACAACACATGTCATGTGTTTCCATTGGAAACCACCCCCAAAGTTTGAAATTGAAGCATTATTTCAACTAGTTATGCTGTACATAGACACAAAAAAAAAAAAACACACATCATTGTAAAATCAATACATTCATCACTCCGTTCAGAATCTAAAATGATAAAATAAAATTGTTACAGCAAAAAAACCGTACCTGGTCTTAAATCACAAATAAATAATTTTATAGTTTATAATTGATGATTTATACAGTCAGCACAAAGCAAGTTAGGTAATGCTAATGGTTCATATTTGGTTAATATGTTAAAAAGGTAAATATAATTTAAGTTACTACTGTTTTTAAATCCATTAGGTAATCTAGTTAGTTAATGTCATTATTAGTCCATGAACTGAAGTAAGTGCTAATTTATATTGGTATATTTTTTTCATTGGTAATTGAAAGAGCTCACTGTTCAGTGTTCAGGTTATTTTGCCTAAAGTTCTTGGTAAGTCATTGGTCTTAAACAGTGGTGCAACTATAGGATCTATTTTGGGAAGAGGTTATAATATGAAAAATAAATTAACAAAAAAAAAGGTTTTCACTTTGAAATATTTGATTTTTAAAAAGATTTTAGAGGTGAAGGGAGAGTTATGACCCCCTCCCCCACTAATTGCGCCAGARGTTCTTAATAAAGAATATTAGTCTGTTTCAACTCTTTCATTTAATTATTTGTAAGATATTACTAATCTGTATGATRTTTTTCTTCTTTTTTACTAAGAATGCAAGTTAGGGAGGATCCTCTGCCCATACTATTATTGTGTATGTAGTGAGAGGTACTAAAATGTTATTCATAGTTAAATCATAACCAATACTATTTCACACTT